GCCCCTGACTGGGAACAACTGCATTACTCATTCTATCTATCAGTTTTTGTGCCAATATCACACTGACAAATCTTTTGGTCTTTATTTTTGTTAGTTTAGAACAAATCCCTCTAGGCTTTCTTTCCAAAACTGATTTTATTCACTCTTGTACTTTGACATCTACAGGTTAATTTAGAATTTGTTTGGCAAATCCTATGAAATATTTTTTGAGGTTTCTATTAATTTGAGAAGAACTGATGTCTCTATGCTACTGAATCTTCTATCCGTATATATGTGATAGCTCACCCTATAGTCAGGTTCTTGTCACGTCTCAGGAACCTTTCATACCTTTTAATTACCTATCCTCTCTCGCCCTTGATTTTCTCACTTCTAAAATGAACATAATACTTGTTTTTACCAAATTAAACTTGCTAATTAGGACTTGTATCATTCACAATATATTGCAGGAGTTTTAACAGTAGTAGGTGTACAATAAAGCCTCATGTTAAGGCAAGTTATTAGTTTTGCCTCCTTGAGGGTTTTGATGCTATTAAGTCTATGTATAGTCCATAATCCTGGCTGAGTCTACACTCTTGCTTTTTATCCCCTCTGCCACCAAGCTGGACTTTAAAGAAAAGCTGGAAGCATCCTTCTTCTCTCAAACCCATTTCTCCTGCTTCGCACCAATCACCCACAGCAGGGGTATTCACAGTCATCAGGATCTGAGAAGGGTTTTGTATCCCCCACCGCCTTGCCCGCCCCAAAACGCTGACTCAAGACTCCAGGAGATGTCAGAAAAGAAATTATTAATCTCTTAATTCTAGAGATAAAAATACTTCTTTTTCCTTTGGCAAAACAGCCTACTGACTTTTTTCTTTTTTGCATTCCTATTGTTAAGATAGAAAACTGAATCTTTCACATTAAACCCTGTCTTTCTCAGAGGTTTAGCTACCTTCTCCCTTCAACCTCTCTGATAGTTGCCACTCTTGTGTAAAATCTCTCCCCCATCTTGCCTGTCCTTATTTCACATCGTTGTGTGTTGAGTCAGAACTGGCAGAGCTGACCCTCTGACCAGTTTTCAGAGGCAGTAAATCGCACAGGAGGACACTGCCCATCCTTCTCTCATGGAGCAGCTGGTGGATTTGAACTGTGTGGTTTTAAAATGGCAGCACAGCTTCTTACCACCAGGCCATTACAGTTCTTCCCTATTTCCTGTAGTGTCCAAAATTAACTACTATCTCCTTCCTTGTATTGGTCTCATTTAGTGCTGCCCACACACCTTTCTTCAGTAGCAACCCGTTTTTTTGGATATCTTTTCTCTTTCATTTTATTTCACCTATGCCTTCAGTGTATCAACACTAAAAAGTACCATAAGACCTCCTCTTTAATTCTTTTAAAATTATGGTTATATAACCACATTTACACTTATTTATATATATTCAGTTGGGAGGCTGTACTTTAGGAGACATGCAGCATCAGGATTGGAAGAAGGTTCGTGTACAACCTGTATTATGAAGATGCCACAACTTTGCTTGCTGAAACTGAAGAGGACCTGAAGTGTTTGCTACAGAAGGTCAAGGACTGTAGTCTTCAATAAAGATTGATGTTCAACATCAAGAAAATAAAGATTCTCAACACCAGGCCAATTTGCAGCATGATGACAGAAGGAGAAGAGATTGCGATAGTTAACAATTTCATCTTGCTCAGATCTACAATCAACACTCTTGGCATCAGCAGTCAGGAAATAAAAAGTGAGTTGCATTGGAAAATTCTGCTGTCAAGGACCTCTCCAGAGTGCTGAAGAGCAATAATAACAGTCTATAGACTAAGGTGTGCCTGATCCAGGGCATGGTCTTCACAATTACTTGCTATGCATCTGAGAGCTGGACAATGAGTAAGGATGACAGAAGAAGAATGAATGCCTTTGAGTTGTGGTGCTGGTGAAGAGTACTGAACAGGTCTGTCCTGGAGAAGATGAACCCAGGTTGCTCCTTTGAGGCAAGGATTTTGAAGTTCTGTCTTACATACTTTGGGCATGTTGCTAGGAGGAACCAGTTCATGGAGAAGGATATCATGCTTCAAAGGGTGGAGGTCCAGTACAGAAGAATAAGACACTGGATAAGATGGACTGACACAGTGACTATGGCAATGGGGTCAGATGTATCAGAGACAGTGAGGTCGGTTCAAGATAGGGCAAAGTTCAGAGCCATTGTTCATAGGGTCACTATGAATCGCAGTCAACTTGATGGCATGTAACAACAACTATATATATAACAAAACATTTGCCATATCAACCTTTTTTTTTATGTGTACAAATTGGTCACTTTTTGGTATAGTATGTAATGAATTGGGCGGCTAACCAAAAGGTTGGCAGTTGGAATCCACCAGCCATTCTTTGGGAGAGAGAAGGGCAGTCTCTTCCTATGAAGATTTACAGCCTCAGAAACCTGATGGTACTTCTGAACTGCAATTAATTCAATGGCAGTGGGTTTGGTTCCATTTTGGTTTTAAATTTGATATTAAACAACTGTTGCCTAATTACAGACTGCACAGATTCAGCGCGGGGTAGAGAAAGGAACATGGCTCCAGGTAGAAAGTCCAGTCCCACTACTTATTAGCTGGGACACCTTAAATAAGCCACCTAGCTTCACTTATCCTGTTTTTCTCATTTTAAAAATTGAGACAATTAACTTGTTCTGAGTCTCGTCTATCAAAATATGGAGAAGATCCTTCGCTACCAGGGCCTTTTATTTTTCATAATATCTTACAATAGACTAAAAAGGTTCATTTTAAGCGTTGTTGAGTCAGATACAACTCATAGCGACTCCATGAACAATAGATCTGAACCTAGTCTTTTCCTGTGCCATCATCATCTCTGAAATACCTGAGCCCTTACTGCAGTCACTGCGTCAATCAATCTTGTCTTCTCTTTCATCGACCCTCTACTTTTCCAAGTATGATGTCTCTAACCAAGAAGCGATCCTCTCTACCAAAATCCCAAACTATGTGAAAGAAAGCTTTGCCATCCTTGCCTCTAAAGAGCATTCTGGCTGAAATTTCTCCAACACATATCTGTATGAAGACCTGCTGAGAGGTCAGCTATCAGTTGGTTCACACTGGACCACACATAACAATAAAGACTCTTGAAGGAGCCCTGGTGGTGCAGTGATTAAGCTGACAATATAGGGGTTTTTGTTGTTGTTGTTGGTTTTTTTTCTGTTTTAAAAATTTATTATTCATTTCAATGAAAATTTACAGAGACTTTGGGTTTCCATACATTCATTGTTGCACTTTTCTCCCCTCCCAACTCTCTCCTCTTGTACACTACCCTCTTGAAAAGGTAAAAGAAAAATTCTTTCATTGTTTTACAAACCCTCCTCCAGGTCCACTCCACCATGTAGCTTTTGCTCTAGACTCCTGTCATGACAAAAATACCTAATCACATATCCTTTTTAAACAGTTTTCTCCCTTATCTGTTTCAATGCAGTATACATTATTCAATTTATCTTTCTCAGTCTCCCCCCAATCCAGATGTCAGTCCTGTTTTACAACAGTGGCAACAGTGGCACTATGCAGTATTTGTCCTTTTGTGACTGAGATACTTTGCTCAGCATAATGTCCTCCAGAGTCACCCATTTTGAATAATATTTCCTGAGTTCCTTGTTTTTCAATGCAGCATAGTATTCCATTGTGTGAATACACCACAGCTTCTCTATCCATTCATTTGCTGATGGGCACTTAGGTTGTTTCCAACTCCTTGCTATTGTGAAGAAAGCCACGATAAACATGGGTGTGCATATATCTGCTTGGGTGTCAGTTATGGTCTCTTTGGGGTATATTCCCAGTAGTGGAATTGCTGGGTCAAATGATATCTCTATTTGCAACTTTTTGAGAAAGCGTCACACTGCTTTCCACAGTGGTTGCACTATTTTACACTCCCACCAACAGTGAATAAGGGTTCCAGTTTCTCCACAATCTCGCCAGCATTTGTTGCTTGCTGTTCTGTTAAATTTTGCTATTTTGACTGGGGTGAGATGATATCTCATAGTTGCTTTGATTTGCATCTCTCTTAGAGCTAGGGATTTGGAACATTTCTTCATGTGCTTGTTGGCCATCAGAATGTCTTCTTTGGTGAAGTGTCTGTTCAAATTCTGTGGCCATTTTTCTACTGGATTTTTTACCTTTATTTTGTTGTGGTGCAATACAGGGGTTTGAATTCATCCTGTTTCTCTGTAGGAGAGAGACTCAGCCACCTCCTCTCATAAAGATTGTTGCTGGTGATTATGTGCCATCAAACTGTAAATTACTCATAGCTGATCCTCCAGCAGATTTTCAAAGCCTGTGAAATGCACTGGAGGAGACTGCCCATCTTTCTCCTATAGAGAAGTTGGTAGATTCAAACTGCCTGCCCTGGGTTAGCTGGGAAAATCCCTAACAGTAGGCTATGAGAGCTCACTCTTACAAAGATTACAGCCTAGAAAATCCTTTGGGGCGATTCTATTTTGTGACACAGACATGCTATGAGATAAAAGCTACTTGACAACATCTAACAACAACAGAGACTCCTAAACAGCCATGTTAATGAAGGAATGAGTAGTTTAAAACATTACTTTATCAAAAAATATCTCTATTTACTTTCTGAATTAACTGTGAATTTTACAAGTAGCAGATTTTCTTTTTAACCTATATTGTTTAGGTGTAATATTAGAAACAGTTTGCAACCCTTATGTACTCACCAGGCTAAAATTAAAGCATCATTTTAGAAAACCCACAACATGGATTCATCCTGTGACAAATGGAGTACTGGCAACATCAAATTATTTTGATAAACAATGAGCACATGAAGAGTTTGAGTCACAAATGTTCAGACCACGAACCTCATGAGAAATGTTCTGCTGCTTTTAAACATTCCAAGAACATTTGTTAGGTAAATGCTCTGAATCTTATTTCTAAGTGTCTCTCCTCTGTTAAAGGGCTAGCCTGCTGAATAAAACAAAGAAACTAAGTAGCTTCTTTATTACCTGTAGCCTGTAAGCTTAAGGCAGGGTCCAGTTTTGTGTGGGGTTTGGAGCTGACAAACAGGTAACAAAGCACACAGGCAGTGATGATGAAGGCCAGGAGGACCACGGCTGCAATGGACAGGCCCACTAGAGCACCGATACTGGAGAGAGAAGACCATAAGGGAACTGGGTGTCAGAAAGGGGCCGAGGAGACAATGTGACATGGTGGAGGTAATGTAGGTGCTGGAGCAAGGAGCTCAGATTTTATTATACCCTTACCTGTCTTGAGGAGTGCATACAGTTAATCCACTGACTGGAAGGTTACAGGATCCTCAGCAATCTACTTCTAAAAAATTTAGCCTTAAAAAAAGCTTGCAAGCAGCCCAAATGTCCAACCACAATAGAATGGATTAAGAACTTATGGTACATATGCAAGATGGAAAAATATGTAGCATGCAGGAGCAGTGATTTTGAAAATGACAACCTAACTTGAGAGGGACTGGAGAGCATTATGCTGAATGGAACTAACTCACTCAGTCCCACAAGGACAAATACTATATAAGGTCATTATTATAGAAATAGATAACCAGTAAAAGGTGTATGAGAATCTAAGGGGGGAACAGTGGGGTGAGGATGAGTGGAGGTGGGAATGTGGGGGAATCATAAAGTCACACAATTTGATGGCTGGAGAAAGGGGTGGAGAAAGGAAATGAGGAAGATCCAGTGTGAAAAGCAAGGTATATGAACTTTGTAAGTAAACCAGCAATAAATTGTATATAACACGTTGCCGCAAATGATGGTAAAAAAAAAATAAATGTGTTTCTAAGCAGGGTTGTCAATGAAAAGTGTGTGTGGCAACGTGTTAAACAAACAAAACTTTGCAGAACTCAGTTCTCTTCTTGAGTACTACTGGTTTTGATACTAGAACTACTAGTTCTACTACTAGCTCTAGTCAAGGTAGAACTGACTAGCCAGCAGCTGGTTTTGATCTGTCTTGAACAGGCTTTCTGTGTCTACACATGAGTAAGAGCACAATGATGTGCTCACCAGACATGACATCACTTAGAACCCACCAGGGAACAGGGACTCACTCCGAGTTCTATTTCTTCTTCCCTTTTTCTTTAACGTCTTTCTCCCTGTTCCCATCCCAGAGAGAGCTGGAGGCAATCTCTTAAAACTACTGGATTTTTTTTTCCAAATCAAGACATGTTGTTGTTATGTGCCATCGAGTTGCTTGCGACTCATAGTGACCCTTTCTATGTACAACAGCCCTAAACCCTGCTCTATCCTGAGCCAACCTTATTGTCTCTGATACACCTACCCCCAATACCCCAGGCACTGAGTCAATCCATCTCATCAAGTTTCTTCCTCTCTTGTGCTGTCACCCCACCCTTTCAAGGATGATGTCCTTCTCCAAGGACTGGTCCTTCCTTGCAACATTCCCGAAATTGTCAGATGAAGCTTCAGAATCCTTGCCTCCAAGGAGCAGACTGGTTTCACCCTCTCTAGAATGAATCTTTATTTTTCTAGCAGTCGATGCAATACTTTCCTCCAGTACCACAGCTCAGAGGCATCCCTTTCTATCATCCCTAGACATTTTCCAGCTTTCTGATGTACAGCAAGTAATTGCAAAGACCATGGCCTGGATCTGGTGCACCTTAGTCTCCAGACTGATGTCACTGCTCTTCAGTACTCTGGAGAGGTCCCTGACAGCAGACTTTCCCAGTGCAATTTGTCTTTTGATTTCCTGGCTGCTGGTACAAAACCCACATATCCTTGCAACCTCACTCAGTTGGCTACATGCCTGAAGCCCTCTCACCATCTTCTGGCCTCACTGCCTCAACCCCAATTCAGGCCTGTGTCACTTGGTCTTGAGCCATAGTTTGGAGCCACAGTTTTCTTTCTTCATGTGATTCATCTCCATTAGCTCTCCATGTCTAAAATTTACTTGTTTAGAAGGTTCATCACTAATGTCCCCTTCTGGATAATTCTTCCTAGGTTATTCTTTTCTCCCTTCCCATACCAGGCCAGTCTGCGTAAGACACCTTAATCAAGGCGTCTGACACTTCCTATGTGGTCAGGCTGTCTGTTGTGGTAGAGAAAGCAAAGGGTTTTGCAACAGACCCATCTGAGTGAGGACCAGCTATGTATTAGTTCACTGTGAGTGAGCCCTTAGTTAGTTAATGTCTTTGAGCCTCCATTTCCAGAAAAATGAAAATGATCAGATCATGGTACCACACAATGGTAGTAAGAATAGATGCTAAAAGGTATGTGGTTTGCTTGGCACACATAGATGGTCAGCATATTCGCCATTTGCTCTTTGAAAGAGCTAGCTTACGCTTTGTCCTCGCCATGTACAAGGCCTAGCCCATCACAGGCAGTCAGTTAATGTCACCAAGTGCCTACTGTGTGTAACAGTTTTCCTTCTGTCTAGGAAGGGATTTGGGAGGCACCTGAATTGATAATTTGTTTGTTCTGGTTTTTTTTTAGTTTGTGTACTGTTGAAAAGATCTGACTGGCACAGGAGGTGACTGTCCCCCCTTTTACAGTGGAGCATCTGGTCCTTGCGAACCACGAGATTCCTGCCACAAGGCCACCAGAGCTCCCTGAGAATTGATACATTTGAATTATGGTAGTGTTAGAAAGAATACTGAACATACCATGGACCTTGAGAAGAACAAATAGAATGTGAAATATCAAGACTTAATTTTGCATATTTTGGCAATGAGTTAAGGAGGCCTCAAGATTCTGGAAAAAGATACCATGCGTGGTAGATTCAGCAAAAACGAAGAAGATCTTTAACAAGATGGATTACCCCAGTGGCTACAATAACAAGTTCAAACATGGCAATGACTGTGAGGTTGGCTCCAGATCAGGACCGGGTAGTGTTTTGTTCTGTTGTACATATAAATCCTCCGAGTTGGAAATGACTTGATGGGTCGAACATCAACAACAACATGTTTTGTTTGTGTGCCCTCCTTGACCACCATTCCTTCCTTAACTGTTCTTCTTCTCATGTTCCTGTCCAGACTCCGGCCCTTGCCCCTTGTGTAGAATTACCTACCAATAGCCAGTTTCTATCAAGCACAAAAATACCTTAGAATCTTGGACTCTATTTCCCCGAGGCTAAATAAATTACAGGACACTCCTGTGATGGTCTAGTATAGAGCCATTAAAACATGTTTTCAAACAATATTTAAGGTCATGGATAAATTAATGAGAAACATTAAGCGTAGAGAACAGGATGCGCAATTGAATATACAGTATAACTCCAACTCTGGTGGCTTAGTGGTAAGGAACTGTGCTGCCAACCCAAAGGTACATTGTTCAAAGAAACCAGAAGCATCTTGGGAGAAAGATGGACAATCTCCTGTGCAATTTACTGCCTCTGAAAACTTGCTGGAGGGTCAGCTATGAGTCATTTCTGACTCAAAGGTACTCAACAACAACATACATGTATGCGTATGTTATGTATGTATAAAGATCAGAGGGAAATACATCAAAATCTGAACAGATTACTGATGTCCTATATGTAGCACTATACTATATATGTTCTGTTCGTACCTCATTTGATATTCTTTCCAGAGTTTCAACTGGTGGCATCTGCATCTCTTTGCCTGAGACCTTTCTTGGCTTTATCAAGCAGGTCAGAGTGCAGGAGTCATATCACCTTCTCAGCAACTCAACTCCCATGTCCAGAAATGCTAGCATGCAAATATCCCAGCTTCCTTGGGAGAACTGTGAGGTATATGTTATATGCTGGCTAGCACAATTCAGTGAGTTTAAGCTGTGGTTACCCACAGTAAGCACATCCTCTTTTGTTAAACCTCTCTCCTTTCCTTGTGTCACTTTCCTATTTCTACAAGTGTTTTCTGGCATCACTTTCCATATGAACAACATGCCCTCAATGTAACTTCTCAGAGTCTTTTTTCAGGAGAACCCAAACCAAGAACTTGGATTACCCATGGCTGCTTTTGCTTTTTTCCTACATTAAGTATGTAGTACTTTTTTATGCCTCTGAAAGAATTCTAATTAAGCACTGTTTTTCTCTTTCAAAATAATAACTCGCTTATAGGACTGCGTACAGGTTGGGATCCTATCCTTTCAAAGGATATCTATGGACACTTGGATGAAAATGGGCCTCACAGTAGGGTCACTGAAGGTGTGAGTAAGAGAGTTGCGAGGCGATGCCCTGGATTCAAGGACTGAACAGACACATCTTCATTCATACACAGTTGGTCCATCTGGAATAGGAGAACCAACTTCTTTCTGAGGATGGAGCTGACAAGACAGAGGATCCAAAGGGATAAATCTATGCTTAGTAGAAGAGAAACTTAGAAATAGAGTTTTTCCATGCTGAACGCACAGCCTCAAGAGGTGGTGACTTCCCCCATCACTGGGAGGGTTTTGGCAGAACATCAGGATGAGTGCATCTGTTAGTGAAGTTATACCTCCCAGACCTGACTGGGAAGTCCGATTAGAGAACCTCCAGCTTCTAGGATTGCAATGGTCTATGATTATGAAGGAGTTTCTGGGTAATGAAAACATACTTGGTTGTTTACCATAAGGTTCGAGGTTTGACTCCACTCTAAGAGGCATCTTAAAAGACAAGCCTGGAAATTGTAAAAAAAAAAAAGCTAAAAAACACCAACTTTTAAAACCCTATGAAGTACATTTCTACCTTGTCATACATGAGATCACCATAAGTCAGTCCTCACTTGATGACAATTACTAAGTTTTTGTAAATGACTATGATAGACAGAAAACCCTAAGAAAATATTGTGATCCCTGAGAAGAAATTAGAGGGGTCGACAAACAAAAACAAGGGCTTTAGAGTTCAGGAGTTCTAAATTCAAATCCTGGCTCTGTAGCACATAAACTGAAAATCACTTTGCCTCTCCGAACTTCATTGTCTTTATTTGTAAAGACAAAAAGTTTATTTACAAAAAAATAAGAAAGTATATTTATAAAGTTGCCTGATCACCAGCTCTGTTCTCCAGCAAGGCTACTGTTTCATGGCTCATGTTTTGATGAAAAACAACTGCAGATGGAGGTTGTTTGGAAACTGGACCAGACAGTGTAATAGCACAAGCTGCTTCTTCATGTGGAAGATTTACTTCCTGAGACTTGCTTTTAAAGATAGTAATTATCCTTGAGCACTCTCTCACCAAGGAAATGATTCTTACCTGGAGATGTATAATTTTTAAAAAGCTAGTTTCACGGATGGAGCCAAATCAAATTTTGGGGCAAGCCAAAAGAATGCTGGGGAAATTATTTCAGGGTTCATGACACACTGACCATGCAAACATCTGAGGGCCCTCAGACTCCCTTCAGCACTTTGCAATTGTTTGTAATGTTTATGGACCACATTATGTATATCCTATACACAGGAAGGGTCTAGCCCAGAATCTTCTGGTTGTCCTTGGGGGGTGGAGTGGTCACAGAATGGGAAGCATATTGACACAGGAGGTCACCCATCCAACCTCCTACCTCATTATCTGAACACTAAAGCACTCAGTGTTTCTATGGCAACCAACAACTCACAAGAGGAAGAGCTTCAGGTAGGGAAGAAGTGGTGACAGAGAGATTGGGTCCTGGTTGGTTGTATGCTGAGGGGGTTACTCATCGCTATCCCCAAAGGCCAGCACATTTCCATATCCTCAAGGGCTAGTGAGAACAGATTTATAAAGCATGTTTTCAGATGATCTGAGTAGAGTAGGTTTTCAAAGAGTCAGGACTGATTTGGACTAGCAGTAGCATAAACCCTGGTTTGGGGTCAGACACATCTGAGTTGTCCTCCCAGCTCAGCCACTTTCTCTTGCTGGGAGCCTGTCTGATAGTAATTAGCCTCTCTCAAGTTTTCTTATCAGTAAAATGGAGATGACACAGGAGAGGGTTGTGCATATGAAAGCATGTAGCACCTGGACAGTCCTAGATCATGTTCCTTAAATCTCAATCTGCTATGACATTGCTAAAAGATCTTGGACAAGCCACTTTCATATTTTGAGCTTCACTTTCCTCAACCATGAACCTCAAAAACAAACAAAAAACTAAAACTAACAACAACCCCCAAACTCAACGCCATTTAGTAGGAACCTACAGCTCACTCAAAAGAGGCGGGAAATTCCTAGAGAGACAATTGCCCAGTTTTCTCCTACAGAGTAGATTTGAATTGCCAAAGAAGTACGACCTTTCAGTTAGCAGTACAACTCTGGAGACTGTGCAACCAGAGCTCCCTTAAATAGGAACCAGGGAAAGGGAATACACGTTAATGAAAGCAACTACTGATTACACTAGTAATTTTCTCATGGATTATTTTAGTTTGCTTGGTTCTACAGTCAACACTCTTGTCACCAGCAGCCAGGAAATTAAAAGACGTATTGTGATGGGAAAGTCTACTGTTAGGGACCTCTCCAAAGTACTGAAAGAGCAATGGTGTCACTCTGGAGACTACGATGCGCCTGATACAGGCTATGGTCTTTGCAGTATTATTCAGTCCTATAGGTTCACAATGAGTTAGGATTGTCTAGACGGTAACGAGTTTTTAATCTACACAATGACATGAGACAGGTATTATCATTTTCATTTTTAGGATGATTAGAAAAAGAGGTTGATAGGAAGCTCTGGTGGCCTGCTGGCAAGAAGCTGTGCTGCAATCCCAAAGGTGCACAGTTCGAATCCACCAAATGCTCTACTGGAGGAGGCGGGGCAGTCTCCTCCTGTGCCAGTCGGGTCCAATTCAACAGCACACAGGAAGTAATTAAAAAAAAAAGGTGATGCCGCATAGGGTCTCAACCCACCCACACCTGGGTGTGAATGAAACAGCATGCTGCTATTAAAAAAAGAAAAAACGGAGAAGGTTCTGAGATTAAATGATTTGCTGATATCCACAAAGCTTGGTGGTACCAAGGTTTGGACCAGGTTCTCACCAGCCCAAATCCCCTTAGTGTCTCTGTCCTCCAAAAGGAGGTCAGAACCGTCAAATTTCAGCTCATTCCTAAGTACAAAATGCATCTTGCAACAAATACTCCCTTACTCTACCTACTTCAGGTGCATTTTGTATCTCTCTAAGTGGACTGTTAGTGAGCTCCTGAGGGGTAGAGAACAATTGATTTCTGTGTTTTCAGGCCTGGCACAAATAAAAAGCTATAATGAATGACTGAATATATGGTTAACAGAATAAGCTAATGTGGCTCTCTGGGTGACGGGGAGCAAGCAAATATGCATCTTAGAAACCATCTGAAAAGTCTCTAGAATTATAGATTGAGTAGCCTGTAAGATGCAACCATATGTCCAACTGTTATTGGCATTTGTCAAGTTGACTTACCTCTGTTTTCTCATCCTTACCACATGAGTCACAATCAAGATGGCAGTGAGGTTTTTGTTGTTGTTTACTGCCCTATTTGGAAATCAGGGCAGTGACTGATCATAATCCTCACTTGACAGATCAAAAAAGCAGCTAAGGAGACTTTAGTAGCTATGGTGCTTTCTTTCCCATCCCAAAGGATACATGGCCTCTGCTCATATACCTCTAAGCACACGAAGTTCACTCTCTACTGAAATGACCCAATTTGGTGTTGCTGGTGTTTGTTTCTCAGTGCAGACTCAGCAGCAAACTGGGTTTGTTTGGGGTTGGTTTTTTTGTTTGTTTTTTTTTTTTGTCTTTTTCTTTGAGACGCCTTTGGAAACCCAGTAGCAATGAAATATGTTGCTTTCTCAGCTCCTAACTTAAGTTCCAAGAATGTTTTGGCTGATCTGGCTAACTCCTTTATACAACAAGTAGGGATACCAAGGGCCTGTGAGAGGAGAATTATCCAAGTTTCAGTTGATAGAACCTGAGGTGGCATCCTGCTGTGGCATTAGGCCACCAAGTCATGATGAACTTGGAGTCAGCTCAAGAGACTCAGGTCTCTTGCTTTGGCTCAGGGTGAAATACAATCCAGCAATTACCACAGGATCTGGCACACAGTCAGTACTTCACAAGGTCTATATGAAAAAATGGCTGACTATGGGATGAAAGGCTAGAGTTGAGGATAAGACTGGGGTATAGCATCAAGTGAAGCTTAGGGTCTGACTGCAGATCTGGATGACACTGGGAGTCAGGATGGGGGAAAGTAGCTGAAATGAGGTTGCAGAGATGATTAAAGAGGAGGTTGTGGATGATGATAGATTGAGGGCTGGCATCAATATTGAGGGACTGGGTAAGAGTAGGGGTGACATTAGTATTGATATTAGAACATATAATGGTTGGGATGGTTTGAGTTTCCTGTGAAGTTAGGAATAGTAATTTGCTGTGAGGTAGGTGTGTGCTCTAGAGCAGAACGAAGCTGAAAATGTGGATGAAGGTTGCTTTGGCGTCAAGCTGAGGTGAGGTCCATGCATGGATCAGGGTATTGGCTGAGGTCAGGAAGGAGGAATAGAGTGAGAGGGGGTTGCTATGACACTTGAAAGAATGGCTGGGTTGGTGACAGCTTGAGAGGTGGGTCAGCTTTGGGTATGGGGTGGGAAGGGGTCGGTTTAGAAGGGGCTGAAGACAGGATGAAAGGATTGAGATTGGAGTGGGGTTGGTACCTGAGCCACCACATGTAGCTGTGCTCGTAGGGGAAGAAGCTGTGCGGGTCATCGCAGCAGTACTTGTGGTCTCGGAAGCCGCAACAGAAGACGGCGGCCGCCTCGCCCCCCGGGCGCGGACAGCTGAAGCCGCGCACCACCTCCTGCTCGGCGCTCACATAGCTCGTGCAGGCGCCGCTCATCGCGCCCGCCACCGCGCCACCTCACACCGCTGGACGGACGGACGGACGGCAGAGCCGGGAGTGAGTCGGAGAAGTGAGGGACAGATCCAGACAGAACTAAAGCTGAGAGAGACCGAGAGAGCGGAGCGGAGATAGAACAGAAGGGCAAAGATAAGGAATGAAGAGGCGAACAGAGACAAAGAAACACCGAGAGAGAGAACCCCCAGCGGGGAGACTTGCTTGCAGAGGACGGTCGTGGAGCCGAGAGGACGCCCAGGTGCGCCGAGCCGCGGCGGGAGGGGCTGGAGGAGGAAGAGGGGGCGGAGGCGCCGTGCGGGGCGCTGGGGAGCGGGGCGAGGGGCCCGGCCAGGGGGCGGGGCGGAAAGGGGGCCAGTTCGCCGCGCTGCTTTCCCAGGTCCTGCCCTCGGGGGCCTCAGAGACACAAGGTCGGGCAGGCAGGGCGGGAATTCGAAGCTTGGTCTGAGTTCCACAGCCGCCTCAGTCCTTGCTCAGTGTGAGGCACTGAGTGCAGCGCTGGCAATCTCCGGAGAGATCCAGGCTACTGCAGAAGTGCACAAACCACCCTGCAGTGGCTTGGCTACGCAGCAGGGTCAGTCAGGGCATGGTTAGTTAGCATAGAACCTCACTTAACTGTCACAACCCAATGGGGGTCAGGGATTTCCCCCCCCCCCCATTTTGTAGTTGTAAGCTGAGGGCGGGAGAGAAGTCACCCATTGGGCTGCTCAACCCTCAAACGTGATTGTAACCGAGACCAAGTTCGTTCTGAAGCGCCCTCCGTCCCCTCCCACTTTACCTGCTGTCCTATCCAGAGCTTCTTTTCCAGAGAACTTTTAATATCCTCTCAAATTCCAGCTTCCTCATCTGAGGCTTCCTATCCCTGTTTTCCACCCCCTCTTGGCCACCAGCCTGAGACCGGGGTCCAGGGAGAGATGGTGAGGAGTGATGGGGGTTGGAGTAGATTCTCCCCAATGGTACCCCCCCCCAGGGCAAAACCATCAGACCTCTGCATTCTCTGCAATTGTTTCCATATAAAAATGTAGTGTTCACTGTAGGATGAGAAAACTGCAATCTGAAGGAGTTGTAAGAAGCCCTCAGAGATCACCCGTCTGTCCTCTTACGGTAGTTGGCGAAGCTGAGGTAATGAGTATGACCTGGTTCAGTCCCAACTGAGTCAGAGCTCTATTTTGTCCATGTTTTTTTAGCCTATCAGTATTCATTCAGTCAACCACAGAGGGTTGGGGCTAAAAAGGACCTGTGGGTCATACTACTGATTATTAAGTGGATTAGAAAAGATGTACTACAGATTTAAAAACTAGTATTCTTCATTATGGGTTGAATTGAGTGTATTCTTGCCCCCAAATGTGTGTCAATTTGGCTAGTTTATGTTTCTCAACATAGTACAATTATCATATGCATTGTAAATCCTAATCTCAATAATGTTAATCAAGCAGGATTAAAGGCAGATATCTAATTTAACAATAGCAACAACAATTTGTAGTGATGCAATCTGAGAGGTGATTAACCAGGTGATGGGTGGGATGTTACATACCTTTCTTTAGGTTATAGCTCCAAAGATTTGATGAAAAGGGAGTTACTTTGGGCTGTGGACTGTATTATGTGTTCTCTTCAGAAAAATAAAGGGAGAGAGAAGTGAACAGAGTGTGGGGATCTCAGGACCCCCAAGACAGAAGAGTCAAGAGTGAAGCATGTTCTCTGGGCAGCTCCTTGACACAGGTGAAGGCCAAGATACATAGAGATCTCCAAGGAATCTCCTGTTGTTGTGGACAGTGGAATCAGAACTGAGGCATAGCTGACCCACCAGCTGGTTTTCAGAGACAGTAACTTGCACAGGAGGAGATTGTCCATCTTTTTCCAGTGGAGCAGCTGGTGGGTTCAAACCACATGACTTTGGGATTGCAGTGCAGTTTCTTACCATAGATTGTGAAATAAAGGCCTTCCTTTTTAATAGGGAAGAGAAGTCTTTACCTAAACCGAGCAACCTAAATTAGGGAGCTCTGGTGATGTAGTAGGTAAGTAGATGTGATGCTAAGCAAAATATTGAGTCAGAATTGACTCAGCACTAGTCCTCTATCAGGTTTTTTTATTATATTTTATTAATTTTCATAAACATTTACAGAGATTTTAGGTTTCCATTCATTCATTGTTGCACTATTCTCTCCACCCTCTTCCCAGTTTGTTCTTGTCCAAATGCCACAGTGCTTGTCAAAGCCAGTTCTGATTAATCTTCTTTGTCAGTGT